TAGAAATAAAACAGGGTAGGGATAGATAATGCTGAAAGATTGTTGATACTCCTTTTTAACACTCCACTTACTTATTGATCCATAACGATTGATAATGAACAGAGTATAAACGAAAACTGTCAGAGGATAAATGTGTTCTTTGATTTAAGGGCAAGGTTGATTGAAGAAGCTAAGTTGGTGCAGATTAACGATTCTGTTTAATGTACATATATCTAATGCAATACATTTAGGCATTCTACTTGCAATTATCTGTTGATATTGTTTGACTGTTAACAGGAACGGACAAGTGTTGCATTGTTTAACTGATCTCATAAGTCTTTCAGCTGAAAAATACCGTTTTTGTGTACAATTTATTGTTTTTGTATAGGATGATTTATAGCAATGATGTACTGATTGAAAAGTGGTAAAAAAGTAATGGAAAATTAAAGGTAAACTTTCAACATAATTTTCAAGAAATCCATTTCACTTGTTGTTGAGCATTCATGATACCTATTGAAATATTATTTCATAGATCATGATCCAGTCTAATATTTAATACTCTGTAGGTTGAAAATATAAACATTAAGGAAAATTCTGTCGGTAGATGCAAACATCTTAAAGAAATTCTTCAAAAATAAATTACAAAGTTGCAATAAATTTCTTTTTGCTAATCTTAATCCTGTTTTCATTAATTCAAGTTCTAGTCAATTGACATTTTTCATGACCTTTTTAAATTTTCAAACCAACAGCTCCTTCATAATTATGTGAAAGATTTTTTCTGGCATTTTGTTGCCAATTTTTGTATGGCATCTTGCTGGAGCCAAACTTCCTAATAATTGTATTTGTGAAAGATACTAGTTAATGGTGCTACTTTTAATTTGGTACTAGATAACAAACACTTGTGCATAGACCATTAATGGAAAGATCCTGACCTAAGGATTTTAATTCCTATCGTGGTTTGATCTGGGAATATGGGGGTTACTTTCTGTATTTTGAGTCCGATGTGTAGGGTGTATTGAACAGTTCATATCTGAGCTAGGGTTGGGACATACAAAACACATACATAGGTATGACTGTATACCCACAGTAACATGAACATGCTAACAACTCGCAATGACAGGGATACACTTATAATACAAGATGCAAGAACAAAGTCTCATGCACAGATACATGCCATATATGTTGTCATTATTGTGTGTGATAATTCAATAAAACATCAAATGAAGATAATGGTGTTAAATTATTTTTTATTTGCCTACCTGAGATGAAATACCGTTACGAGGTTATATGGTGGTGTTTCGTCCTCCATCATCGTCTGTCGTCCATCAACATTTGCTTTAGAGAAGATCTCCCAATGCCCTGAACGGATTTCTGCCATTCAGGATCAAAAGTTTTACAAACGTAATGGTTAACTATTGTTTGGACTGAAGGGCAATGTGACCGTGCTAAAATTGGTTGACTGCTTTAAATGCATATATTACCAATATCCTGGGCAGGTCTTAAGCTTTTTTGGAGAGGAATAAATATAAGCTCTAAGCTTGTCTTCCAGTCTTTTTGAAATAACATGTTATAACCATGCATGCTTATTGAATAAAATACTGTTTAAAGTAAATTTTGGTACACAAATAGCATTCTATGCCCAAGGGAAACAAAAAGTGAAATATATCGTCTGATCCTGTTAGTGTCTGATAGCTGGTAAGTTCGGCTGATTCGCTTAATGCCACATCTCTCTATATACCAAGCAGGTTTCGACCAGATAGTGCTAACACGCTTAGCTATTGTAAATCAAAGTTCTATGATTAATGTGGCTTACAAACTTGTACATATCGGATAAGCTGTATATTAGTCCACTTCTAGTGCGAGATTAATACCAGGTGAGCGATTCAGGCCCATTGGGCCTCTTGTTCTTTTACAGCAAGTCACAACTGATTATATCTCTTTCCACAATTATTTTTTAAAGCTTACCTTAGATGAGATGAAAGTGATGTTATATGGTGGGTTTTCACTCTCCGTCTGTCGTCCATCAACATTTGCTTTAGAGAGAATCTCTCAATGCTCGGAACGGATTTCAACCAAATCTTGCGGTAGCTGCTTTTGCCATTCAGGATCAGTGTTTAGATAGTTTTACAAAACTCCAAGTACCAGTTTGTAAGCCACATGAATTATAGAACTTGGATTCCCAATAGCTAAGCATACTATCACTATCCTATTGTATCAAACCTTTTTGCAAACAAACTTATTTGTTCCGTGATGTATAAACGCTATACGTTTCCTAATCAGCTGGTGTAGAATCGAATGCGCATTTGGCTGTTCGAGGAACACAACTGCAACATGTCCTTGGCTGGACTTGGCTTCCCTGATCAGTTGGCTGAGAATCCTGGTATGCTCACCACAACCAGACTCCTCAGTAATCTTGATCATATCTTATATACTATGAAAAAGCATCCCACTTACACCTGGAGCTGGAACGGTTGTAGTCTTCTTCACAAGATCATGAACTTTCCACTGAGTCTTGGTAAAAGTTGAGGAATCATTGATAAATGACGCAGTATTCATCGATCTTACATTCATTGCCTTCTTAATCCCTTCGCTAGCCTTGCTAGGTTCTCTCGATACTCTCGTAAACCCATCCTTTCCACATGACATGCCATCTTTTCTGTCACGTGACTGTTTTCAGTTCTTGTTTTAGTCTCTATATGGTCTTTTGTCTTCTAATAAGTAGTCCACATAAACGATATGATATAGTATTGGTGATATGAACCAATTTTTCAGGCATGGGTTTGATTATTAAATAGCGATAATATGTATTTATTGTAGTGTTTTCTGTTTATAATAAGATGCATACGATCTTGAATTTGAAAGATATCATATTGCAATCCGTCCGGCAATCCGTCCGTTCGAAGAGTTTGTCCGGGGCATATCTTCTATACTTTTTATTTTTTTAGCAGATTTAGCATGCAAGTACATCTTGGAATAGCGGAGTGTCAAGTACAAACAATAGGTTACTGTGATTATGACTTCAACCTTTGAAAAGGTTTGTCAGGTGCATTTTAAACCTTTATCGTATTTCATCTTGAGTAACCACGTTTAGTATGCACGTACATGTATGTCTATGTTGGCGAAATGCGGAGTACAAGAAGTATGTCACTCTGATTTATATCCTGTGATACTGAGGTGTACTGCTCGGTAAATAAAGACATCAATTATCGTTTGGGGACTGGATTGCCTTACAATACTTTGCCTTGTTGTTTTTATTTGTAAGCATTTCGCCACATTGCCAGCTTCATCAGATACTTCGCAGAGGAATCATTTTTCGTATAAGCTTGCAACAAATACACAAGAAATTACGGTAAGCATACAGTCATAATTACAGAATCTGTATAATGGAATAAAATTATTGGAGGGTGACTAATTGAGAGGGTCATTTGATATTTAGCATCGTTTGAAGTACATGGGTTGATCCACTTGCTTCTAGTTATTAATTTCCGTAACACGGTTGCTGACTATGCTTTTGGATTATATCAGTCCCCGAGGTTAGCTGTAAACTTGTGGCTTGAATTTATTCTGACAGGTTTAACATTGCAAACTAGTTAAAGTATAAAATATCTTTCCGCTGTTGCTATTTTCATTTTATTGACCTGAAGATGGACGAAATGGCCATACGGTGCAGTGAAAAGTTAATTTTGTTTGCTTTCTGCTTCTACAAACAGTTTTCAAAAGGTGCTTTATTTCTTCGTGTTTTTAGTGATTATTATACAACGAACCAGCACGTAGATCAACCTATGTACTACATTGTACAATGGGCCAATACTCTATTTCTTCGAATATGCATGCTTTTAATAAAATCTCATCGGTGATGCTGCAGAAGTTGAAAATACAAATGACAGTATAGTTAAGGATGTTTAAAAGCGGTTAAATATAAAACAGGAAAAACCTGGTAAACACAATATCACCTCCTGGTCAAACATTGTCACCATACTGATTATATCAGCAAGGTGGATCTTGAAGAAGAAATCGAAAATATTGTAGCCAGTAATATATTCATCTCTTGTTTAGGGTGTTAATTGTGCCATATTTTATCAAAATAGGTTAGGTATAATTTAAAAGGAAGTAGAAAAAGTCTCAAATTAGCCAAAAACAGCCATTCATGATTCCAAATCATCGATAAAATCAGTATTACCACTTGGTTTGGGTTACGAGTAGATCCGAATAGACAAGTACTCTCAACCAGTGATAAATCTACATACGAGTCCCGAGTCCGATAGTCATACAATTTCTGGAAACCCGTTGTTTCTAGCAATACAGTTGAAAAGGACCCATTATAATAAAATGTAGATTCGTCACTGCAAAACTACTGTTGATGTTCTATTTTAGGTTTAAATTAACCTTTTTTTAAGTGCCGGATCCTTAAGCTTAACAAACGATTTATTATAATATGTTTAATAGTATGATATAATAATATTATCTACAACCTGAAACTGTTTTGTTAATACGCTCCTTTTCTTCCCTTGGTCAACTCCTATAGGAACATCTCGTGGACTACCAGGTTTGATGAGCCACCTACACGAAGGGGAATTCTTCACAAACAAACAAAATAGGAGGCTAAATCCAGATGATGAGTTAACGGTGTAATTTGAACGTGAACCGTACAAAAAGAAAGATAACTCGAGTGTAGTGGTCAAACAACCTTTCATATATAGGTATAGGAAATGTCCAAGCTTTAAATGTGAACTAACAAACACAACGAATGGCTAAAACAACACGAAAAGCGATACATCTTTTGTTTGCATACAACAAGAGAATGAATAGAGAAAACGTTTGATAGATGTAGCTTAGTCATCTTAATTTATGATAATTGTATTACAAATTTATAATATATAGTAAATACCAAATGGGTACGGAAAGTAACGTTCATTATTGTGTTATTTTTCTTGTTTGTTGCATCCAGGCCTATCTTTAGAGTTTCTATTTTATGACGGCATTATAAACGTTCAGTACTGAATTATAAAAATGATAATTAATATATACAACATCTTTTTTTTTATTGATGATTAGAATATAACATATAATACGAAGATGAGGCACACGTTGGAGTTTACATGTTGGTAATGCTGACATAACAAGAAAAACTAAGGACACATGATGAATACACAATTTAACGAAATAATTTAATCATTGGTATATTGCAGTCATGTTGGTGAACAATACTACTGATAATCTACTGCGGATGGAGACACCAAGTTGATCCCTTCTTCCATGAAAAGTATGTTTAAACACTTCAAATAAATCAATACTTAATTAATCAACTAAATAAATAATAATACTAATCAAAATTAACATTTATCGGAAACACAATTTTTCAATGACCATAACCAAGTTATTTTGAATTGACAAAGGTTCTGACACCTTGAGTTTTTGTGTTTGACAACAAGACATGGTACACAGCAGTAGGTAATACACCTGGTCTACTGTGTGTTCCTTGCCCATCATAATCACATATCACTGTTCATCAGTCTGATAGCCACTTAATTTCTCTCTCTATTCTTCTTCGACGCGCTGGCTGCTCGCCAATGCTTCTCAAGTTCTTTGCGTGATTCATAGTTTCGAAGATATCTGCTGCTGTAGTCATCCAATAATCTGTAATTTGTAAACAGATTATATTTAACTTATTCAGCAACACAAATTACAGCTGGCTATTAATCTAGTGCTACGCTGCTTTATGAACTATTGATTACACATTGTTGGCAATTTGTTATCAATGATACAACATTTAGATTGTACATTATCAGTTAATTTATTGTCTTGGTGAGACAGATGTTTCTGTAATCAGTGTCCACAACATTAAAAAAGAAAGAGAAAGTATGATTTCCAATTTATCAATATAGTCAAGCGTCGAGAAAGCTCATGATAAATCTCCAAGTTAGGAATGTCTTTATTTGGTATACAGGAAGAAACTTACTTGACTTTTGTACACTCCATTGTTAATTGCATATAAGGTTTTGGCATGTTCACAAACGTTTGATTTTCATTTAATTGCGATCCGATTGCTTATAATAACTGAATTGTTTGAGTAATTGTGCTCGTATTGTGATAGAGTAAATATGGTCTTCCGTTGGCAGTATAAATCAATGTAAATAGTCATTGTGTGTACAGACTCGTTTAAATACACTGTTCCTTCGCATTGGTTCAACTTGAATGGGTTCAACACATGGATCTGAGGCAACAGAAAGTTATTATTATTGCGTAACTTGTTGTGCTTGAGATACAATGAACTGTTGTACCGTTCAACGGTAAAACTACTCACAGGAAATGACAACGTGCAGTCATCAAAGCTCACATTGAAACCGATTGGCTTTAATATCATTCAAATGTGCATCTGGTATATAATCAGTTTGAGTTTTCCATGACAAATATTTTGACATGTTGTATATATATAGTATTGTGACATGGATATTCATTAAGTGTCATGTGAAATGTAAAGCATATCATAGATATAGTTAATTTTTCATGTTTAAATAAATAACTTAATTCAATCAATAGCTATATGATTATCACCATTTATATTATGTAAGCACACTGGGAGACAAATTGTTATCTAAAAATAAGAAGGTTTTTAAGATGTTTACTTACTCCCTTTTCGTCCTATCTAGCATGCGTTCCTCCTCCTTTTGTTCTGACAGTTGTTTCAGGATGGCATTCCTCTTTTTCTGAGAAACCCAGTCTATCTGTCCACCAAACAAATCCATTGCACTGTCTTTCCAATCCGAAATCTGTCCGTTGGTTATATCATTCTTGTCGAACAGGTAGTCGAATAGTGTTGATAACTAGAACGAGTGTGTCCCAGTCTCTGCTATGGTCCTCTGTTGCTAGCTCGTACATTTACCTGTGGTTTGTCAGAATTTAAAACACCACACAAGCCAATCAATCCAGCAGTATAGAACACGCTTTACATACATCGAGCCTCGGTCAATATAAGTAAATAATCCGTAGGAGATTATACACTAAAAGGACAATATGTGTAATATATATACAGTAGTAATCACCTAAGCATGACATAAATATCCAAACGTCTTTTGTCAATGGTCTGTGGCTTGCTTTAGTTCCTTCTCTACCTACTGTATGCACATCTAGAGTTATAAATTACACATGTCTACGTTACACAATGCCAGCTTAAGTGTTTTACAGTCCTATACAGGTATACAATTACAGGTAGATAATCCTTCACTCAAACCAACAATTCATGCCTGGATACTGTAATAACATAAATAGTAAATGAACAGTATATGCTCATACGCGATCGAAGATTATAGAAATTAAAAATTATGAATACATATTCTATAATAGATTGGATAGTGATTGTTTCAATGCCGATACTTAGATAGGTGGGTCTGCTATAAATTGTAAAAAGGAATTCTGACAGGACTTTTTATCATATACATATGTACTTGCTATACAGTAATAAGCATGGACTACGACCTAAATGTTCCACCGCAGCTGAGTCATATCGAATCGTGAACTGTGGTCCTGCCGTAATCCGTGCAAGAACCCTATGGGTTTACTTGGCAAGTGTAGGAAAGCATATCTCCAATATAAGAATTAAAACAAAACAAAATAATTTTGAAAGAAATTGAAAACAAAGTCATGATTCGTATCCTCAAATACAAGCTAATTCCACATTTCTGTAGCGATAAAGACAAGAATTGTGTAAGAAGTGTACTTTTCAGCGTTGTATGTATACTGAAAACGACTTTATTTAAAACGAATACTTATATCGCAATTCTGGTTCTAATTAAAGATTGATATTGGCACGAGTAGTTGAGTAAAATGTTTTTTTATCAATTATCTTTTTAATGAGGCAATTATTGGGAACATTTTCACAGCACTCACAAAAAATATATAATATGTATTGTAGTACATGCAAAAACTATTATGAAATTGTAAATACTGGTTGATTGTTACGTCATTGGTTCGTGTGAGAAAATTACGTCGTTTTCTCAAAAATTGATGACGTTACTCTCACAAATAAATGACGTAACAATCAATACCTGCTCTCAAGAGAAGATAACTCTGCAATACGCAAAGACGGAATTGCATATTCGAGTTAACTATTTTCCCTCAAAAATATATAATAAATTGTTCATTGGTTCGTCCCCTACGTGACTATGCATGAAATCTGTATAAGTGAAAGAATGGAGATAGGATCAGATTCGATGGGAATTGACTTCATCATTTTTATGATAGTATAACTTTCATTCCTGTTCCCGACAATAACAAAACTGTCAACTGTTGTTTTTCTGATAACATTATGTTTCTGTATTTCAATTGCTGGGAGGTGACATATTCTGGTAGCTGGTTTTGCTTTGTCGCTGCGACACTGTGAACAAACGAAGCGGAGTGGGAAAATATACTGGCATCGACTTTAGTGCTTTCTGTTTCGGTTTTTTTGGATAGATTTGACAATGTAAAACAGCGTTTTAAAATGGTTATAGTTCTAAGAAGGCAATTTAAGGTAACTGGTCTCGTTAAAATTACATGTTCTGCCAAACAGTCATTTTTTCGCGTCAACGAGACGAAAAACAAACCTCAACAGTGGATTTGTATGCCAATAAAAAGCTGGTCTGTACTACCCCGTAGCAACAAAGCGTCGTTATCATGACGATTTGTCATCGCTTTGCGGCGGAGAAAAAAACGTGGCCCGTATCAGCCACTATTCATACAGGACATACACGTCGTGTATATATATTAATCGAGAATGCTTCCCTGTAGATGACGTATTCAGCAGCGAAACATTCTTTTATTCGGTACAATTCATCATCCGCTATTGCACAAATGAATCATCACAATCTTGATGATTGATTATAGAGAATTCCTTTAATCAATCTTGGTATTTTCCATGAAAATAATTTACTTAAAGTCAGATCATGATGTATTGATTTTTTGTTTCTATTTCTTTTTCGTATATGAGAATTATATTCCCATCATTTTCAATATCCTGAAATGTTTTTGATTCACATTGCGAATTATATCTTTGCACTTTCTTGTCATTGTTAATTCATTGCTATAGAGCTTGCCTCTTATCGAGCAATGGACTGCGTGTTCATGTTTTCTATGAAAAAAATGTTTCATATACGCGGCGGCCAACATTAAATCCAGCCGATGCATTTCAGTTTCAGTTCACCAATTCTTGCTTATTTACTTATTTTGTATTTGTTTATATTTTACTTTCTCCTCTCCTACTTTATAAGTTTAACTGATAGAATTAATGAATGTTTATTTTAGTGTCATTTCAATGAAACGGCTATACACTCTTTTTGACTTGCATTGTATTGCAACTATAATTCTCGTCGTTGCAAGTCTTTATAATATTGTTTTCAGTATAATCCAGTTTCATTCAGTACCACTTTCAAGACCATCTCGGTCAATGTAATATCATAGCCAAATATCTTCAAATCCGATGTTTTACAGATTGCAGAAAATAGTTTAATGAAAACTTGGTGTCGCATACTACCCAGAATTAAGTTACCATTTTTGGTACTTTCTGGTGGTCCACACATAACAAAAGCTAATTTTCAGCATGAACAGTTTATTCAAAATGGATAATCACAGGTTTAGAAGCAATCAAGAAATACAATGCATGGTGTAAACCAGCATTTAGGATAATACATGTAAACGTGTAACAGCTTCATTGTTTTATACAAAATTATATATCTATTCACTTGCTTCTATTAAAGTAAAATTACAACAGATAGTATATATTTATATAATCACATTTTAAAAGGTATCTTACAGTGAAAACTAACACTTTCTTGATATATCACAGTCAATATGTTTTCTAAAAACTCCACATTAGCTTGTAAACAAAGTTGATAAAAATATGAAATAACATGTTAGGTAGAACGCAATGAATCTTATAAAGTTAAAAGTGAGAAAGGAAGAAATAGGTATATATAAGTGAAAGACTTCTCAAAACATTTAGATCAAAACTTCAATATAAATTTTAAACATGAGCAAACAGTCTTTGATAAAATTCAGCAGTAAACATTCAGCAACTTATGAATTAAAACCTCTGTTTATTTGTCTCATCTCTGAACCTGATGTTTCCTTCCTTGTGTTATAAACACTATTCGGACCTCTCCACGCAATACAATGAAAATGAGCACAATAGCCACGAACATATTGAATTTCATGAATTTAACCGATAAATAATAAGTTGGCTTGCATGATCCGATATTCAATAAAGAATTTTAAAAGAATTATTCTTAATATTTAACTTAAAACGAACAAAAAGTTTGACAGCTTTGTGCAGAGATGACACTACAAAGTATAATGAATAAATAGCGCTAAAAGATTATTCTTCCCACTTAAAAAATAAATACTAATACCAGATCTGTTGTGAATAAGTGAACATAACAGGGTACATTACCAGTCGCTAGAACACAAATCTACAGACAAAATAGCACATATCCTGTAACATGAAGCCATATTTGTACATATGGAGACCACACAATGCGAATAGATCAATATATTGTGGTCTGAGAGGCTAATACTGATAAACTAATAGTAATCATTCATATCACATTGTCATATTCATTGTTTTTTCTGATAGAATTGTGTTAAATTTTCAAAACGTATGTGACGATAGGCATACCCTATACATTTATTTATATAATAGTCGTAATCCTACACCATGAGCCGAGAGCCAGGAATGTAGCGGGACTCACTCCAGATGTTTGACTCGCCACAATTGACCGTTTTCCTCTTACATTGTTCACACCGTTTGTACTTATCACACTGCTCATGTACTAGGAGACTAGGACTTAGTGCATGTAAGCGCTCTTCTAACTCATTGTTCTTCTTCGCCGTGGCCGCTTTCTGCCAGTCACTCTCCAAACGCTTACGGATATGGTATCTATTACCAAATCTGGTGCCGCGATCTTCCCTTAGTCTGCAAATGAATACAGATTTGAAATAATTTTTAATATATTCTTTAGATAGTTAGAACATTCTTCATTGTAAAATTAAAGTGAATGGTGAATTGACAACGACGATAAATTGTAATATATTGGTCCTTCAGCCTAGCATGCTACTGGCTAAATATCACCACCCTATGCATTTTGGTTATTCAGTAGAAGTCGTTTAAAGTCGTAACAAAGTTGACCCCTGTGACCTTGCATATACTATTTTTAGTAAGTAAATGTCATTCATTTGAACAAACTCATCAAACCTTCATCACAGCATGTTACTGGCTCAACATTCATTAGAAGTTGTTAAAGTTTTAAACATATTTGACCCATGTGACCTTGAATATGGGTGAAGGTCATTAATTTGAACAAACTTGGTATCCTTTGTCCCTGTATGCTACTGGTCGAATATCCTCATCCATGGTCTTTTGGTTATTCAGAAGAAATTGTTTAAAAGGTGAACATATTTGACCCCCGTGACCTTGAATATAGGTAATTCATTTGAACAAACTTGGTAGCCATATATCATCAACCCAGGCCTCTTGGCTATTCAGAAGAAGTTGTTTAAAGTAAACAAGTTGACTCATTTTGGCCAGGTGAGCTAAAATGTTTTCTTGTCAAATTCTATAGTTATCTGTTAATATATACCATTAGTATTACTACATTAATTATGGAATGACTTATATGAGTAAGGTAATTTCAGTTGCCCGCCTTATTATGCATATAAAGATACGTACTCTCTCTTTGTCCGCTCCAACACGTCCTCCTCCTCTTTCTGGTCATTCAAACGTTTGAGGATGGCCTCCCTCTTCCTTTGGGCGACCAGATCCTGCTGATCACGGAACATATCGTATGCACGTGATCTCCTGGCAGCCATTTTTTCGTTGGTCATATCATTTTTACCGAATACTTCGTTGTCTGCCTCCCTAGGTGGCACTTGCAGAGGTTTAAACCGCAGCTACAAAGTAGTTAATAAGGATATATAACTCTCCTGATTATCAATATACTTAAACATAGGCAGTAAACAGCATTCTGTCTATAGTATAGTCCTATAATTCTGAACACGATTCCCTTCTTCTAAAACCAATTGAACTTGTTCAGAAGAGGCTGATCTTGTTATCCCCTTCTACGTCTAACTTTAAATTGTTCAAAAGAGGCTAATCTGGTGTTAGCCCGAGGTGTTTCAATTAGGTTAAACAATTTCTACAGTATTCTCACTATTCCCCTTCTACGATTAATTCTGCAGTCTTAGAAAATGATTAACCCTGTTAAACAATTACAGAAGGTACAGAAAATGCTAAGTATTTTATTAATTAACAACTATTTTAAATAGGCTCAGAAAAGGCTAATAGTGTTAATCCTCTTCTATAACTTATTGGGCATGTTCTGAAAAGTTTAACATTGTAAACTAATTTAAGCAGGTTTCGAAAAGGCTAAACCTGTTAATTAATCTTAGCAAGTTGGTGATACTAATATCTTTATTCTTCTTTTACAGTTATATTAGGATGTTCTGAAAAGTATAAGCTTGTAAACTACTTTTGTAGGTTCAAATAAGGCTGACGATCCCGTTGAGTTTAGCAGGTTAAGAAAAAGGACAAACCTGTTATTCCTCTTTTACAATTTATTTTAGTATGTTCAGCAAAGCCTATTCCCGTTAATTAAATTTAGCATGTGTAGAAAAAGGCAAACCCAATGAACTCATTTTAGAATGTTCAGAAAAAGGCTAGCACCTTAAACAAATTTTAGCAGGTTCAGAAAAAGGCTAACCCCATTAACTAGGTTTTATCAGAAAAAGGCTGACCCCATTAACTAGGTTTTATCAGAAAAAGGCTAACCCCATTAACTAGGTTTTATCAGAAAAAGGCTAACCCCATTAACTAGGTTTTATCAGAAAAAGGCTAACCCCATTAACTAGGTTTTATCAGAAAAAGGCTAACCCCATTAACTAGGTTTTATCAGAAAAAGGCTAACCCCATTAACTAGGTTTTATCAGAAAAAGGCTAACCCCATTAACTAGGTTTTATCAGAAAAAGGCTAACCCCATTAACTAGGTTTTATCAGAAAAAGGCTAACCCCATTAACTAGGTTTTATCAGAAAAAGGCTAACCCCATTAACTAGGTTTTATCAGAAAAAGGCTAACCCCATTAACTAGGTTTTATCAGAAAAAGGCTAACCCCATTAACTAGGTTTTATCAGAAAAAAACTATGCCTGCTTCTATAACTGATTCTCTCTATTTCTTCTAACCAACAGAGAGTGTATACACCTCAGTTAAGTACAGGTAATCATATCTATCAGTGGTTCATATCAGAAATCTGTACAAATCAGTTTGGTTACTTTCGGTTTGACACAAATTAGGTTAATCTCTATGGTTACGCAATCAAGAATAATAGATAAATCAATACCTTTTACCAATCAATGCATGAATTTCATTTAAAGTAAAATATCAGAGAATGGTTCTAAATTAGAAAAAAGAAATGTGTATCGGAACCGTGTATCCTACAGCATTCTGAAGAGTGCTCATTCATAAGACATATCTGCAGTATCCTTTTCATGTGTGATCACACCATTATTGTAATTATTTCCATTTCTTATCTACATGTAGGAAAAAGGAAATGTGCCATCATAAACAAAGAAGAGTAGCAAAACACCAGTTCAGGAGAAAGAATACATTTGAAATAGGTAAATACCAAAAGAGGACTTCAAAATATAATTCGTTAATCAACTTAATGATAAAGAAGAAACAAACAAAAGTGCATCAATACAAAAACCTCACTTAACTTTTCTAAAGTAACTAATGAGAAAAGTAATTAATGGTACTGATATTAGACCTTCGTTTGATAAGTGGCTCCACAATAACGACCAGAAATATTTTACATATCTTTGATGTTCTCAGATTTTGATGATATTGGTCTCTACTCTGAATCCCAGTTATAGTTTTAAATTGAATACAAGAATGTTAATTTGAATCAACTGAAATCTACTTTGAATTAGGGGAATGAGAGTTAAGTGAAGTTGTTGTGTGTCTATCTACCCGTGGGAGGTCCTCGTTGAGACGATCTTTGGAGGAATTGGAGAAGGGGGTCAGGACATTGGGGATCATTGGAAGCTTGAAAGTGCTAAAGCTGTGATTGGGGGGAGATGGGAGGTGGGGCAGCCTTATCTCAGAGGTCATTTGGCGCCTCGGCAACAGTGCAGTGGGGCAATCAGGTGTGCGCAGAAGACCATCAGGCTTACGGAAACGACTGCGTATCTTAATCTGAATAAAAGGGATTAGTGCAGAAAAAGACATAAGCAGAAGCAAAGTAGTTAAGCAGAATAACTGTAAATCACTATAGTTATATAAATTAATTTTCAGTATATTTCACTGAGATTCGTGTAGTTTCAAAATGAAATAGGTTGTGGCTATTCATTGACATTTAAAAAGACTGTCTTCTCATTGCTACTTTCATAAATTTAAATCCTTGCAGCATAAGTACAAACATTTAGTGATTTACAGTGGTAAGACAGGGATCAGTGCAACATCAATGACACATTTTTCTACAGAGCTCTTGAAAGTCAAACAGTTAGAAAACAATCTACAAAAGCAATCAATTAAACAACAGCATCTACATATATATTATCCTGATAACAGCATTTATAGGCATATAACCAAAACAAAAGCACACCATTTATACACATATTACCCAAATAAGTAACATCTACAAACATATTACCCAGACACCACTTATATACATATTACCCAAATAAGTAACATCTACAAACATATTACCCAGACACCACTTATATACATATTACCCAAATAAGTAACATCTACAAACATATTACCCAGACACCACTTATATACATATTACCCAAATAAGTAACATCTACAAACATATTACCCAGACACCACTTATATACATATTACTCAAATAAGTAACATCTAAAAACATATTACCCAGACATCACTTATATACATATTACTCAAATAAGTAACATCTACAAACATATTACCCAGACACCACTTATATACATATTACCCAAATAAGTAACATCTTCAAACATATTACCCAGACACAATTTATACACATATTACCCAAATAAGTAACATCTTCAAACATATTACCCAGACACAATTTAGACACATATTACCCAAATAAGTAACATCTTCAAACATATTACCCAGACACAATTTAGACACATATTACCCAAATAAGTAACATCTACAAACATATTACCCAGACATCACTTATATACATATTACCCAAATAAGCAACATCTACAAACATATTACCTATACATATAATTGGGCCCAGGTTAAATCTCAGCTCCTGTTCATTTACTGTTAACGGTGTTTTATAATGAACTATTCCAACCTTTGAATTGGAAGAGTTCACATGTCAATTACATGTTAAGCATTACAGTCATTACATTGCATGTCTATCAAGGTAGCCTGCTAAGTGTTGGTGTTCTCTCAAGAACTTGTTTCTACATAACCATGGAATAACCAAAATATAGGTTACCTTAGGTCATGCTTCAATACTTATCTCCCCTTAATAATTGACATTTCTAAAATTTAGGAATATGTATGGAGATACATTGTTGCAAAAAAGAACTGTTAGAGCACATGTAAGCAGCTTACAAAAGCAGTGAAGTATAGTAATGGTTACCTCAGAAGTGAAAGTAATACTGTACAACATGAGCAATTTCATAAAAAGGGCAGATTTTTCTATTATCAAACATGAACAAGATACATGTTTACGTTGGTTGGAACATCTTTTTAATATTTATTTAAAACAGTGAAACAACTTAAATTCAACAAAAGGAAGTATGACAGTGTGCAATAAAATATGAAATTTTCACCTTTTTCTTTTTGAGATTATTTCAAAATCATCTGAATGTTAATATGTTAATATTGGTGCCAGACATTCCCAAATCCCTCCAAAATTGTGTAACAAAATTCACATGAAATTGCTCTGTAATTGAACTGTATCTTTAGTGAAATAGATTCTAGCACTACACATTCTGCTTAGTACAGACAAACATCAGTGCTACATATATCTGAATGTTAATAACATGAACCTACCTGAACCTCTAGCGCTTTCTTATACATGTCCTGTTGTTCATTCTTATCCATGATGAACTGTTCACGCTGAGCAGCCAAACTGTAATATCAGATAGGGCATTTAACAACAGGTCTATAATAGGTTACCAAACGTATAGCTCCGTACCAAACACATGTAATATCTGATAGGACATTTAACAACAGGTCTATAATAGGTTACAAAACGTATAGCTCCTTACCAAACACATGTAATATCTGATATGACATTTAACAACAGGTCTATAATAGGTTACAAAACGTATAGCTCCTTACCAAACACATGTAATATCTGAGAGGACATTTAACAACAGGTCTATAATAGGTTACCAAACGTATAGCTCCTTACCAAACACATGTTATATCTGATAGGGCATTTAACAACAGGCCTATAATAGGTTACCAAACATATAGCTCCTTACCAAACACATGTAATATCTGATAGGGCATTTAACAACAGGCCTATAATAGGTTACCGAACATATAGCTCCTTACCAAACACATGTAATATCTGATAGGACATTTAACAACAGGTCTATAATAGGTTACCAAACGTATAGCTACTTACCAAACACATGTTATATCTGATAGGATATTTAACAACAGGTCTATAATAGGTTACCAAACGTATAGCTCCTTACCAAACACATGTTATATCTGATAGGATATTTAACAACAGGTCTATAATAGGTTACCAAACGTATAGCTCCTTACCAAACACATGTAATATCTGCATGAAAATTCTTAGGATTAACTAAAAAAATATTATACATCACATCATTACATGTTAAGTAGGATTTCTTAAGCAGAAACATTATTTGCTAGTGCTCCTACTATCCAATCCAGTATAGAATATGGCATCATAATGCTGACCATACACACTAACACCTAAAGACATCTTATCAGAGTACTGAAGTTGACAGAGCAATATTCTTATAACTGATGCTTTACAATAATTCATCAAAGTGAGTCTAGACTTACTTTTATTCTATTACTCCCTAAATAAATAAATGATTTTGTTTTTCTTTTTTCTCTCTTAAATACATATGTATTCACCCCAGTCAATGTAATAATTTCACACATAAGCACGAAACCTACATAAATAATTCTTTCAGGCATATCAGTGGTCATACTTACTCCTCAGCCAGCTGAACCTGTTCCAGCCTCTCCAGGAACTCCTCATCTGTTTGATACTTCTTCTGTGTGGATGATTTAGACTCCACCTATACACAAAACAGGAGAAAATGTATAGCACATATAGCACAGTAAGTAAAAACAATAACTTCAGGGGGGTAGCAACTTTTTTTAGATTTTGCAATTAACTACACTGGATTTAAAATCAAATATTACAGAAAATATATTGCTTTTGCGAATGTTTTTTTTAATAAGATGTATGATTGAATGACAAAATTACAGCTCACTTGTTTTTTAATCAACTTTACAGAAGCCTTACCTGTGCTGCTAGGTCCTTAGAGTACTCTTCTTGTTTGAAAATCTTGGGTGGAGTTAAAGGCCTTTTTTGGAATATGTAGGATTTCTGTAAGATGATAAGCACAATAATTATTACCTCAAATGTAGGAAAGTCAAGAGTATCAAGAATTTTGTTATATGAGACTTTGTTCTTTTATTTCCTTAAATATGCAGAAAACACACTCTTACTGAATTAAAAGATTTTTAAATATTCATGTTGTATTACCCATTACTTAATATAAAGAGAAGCCTTACATGGAAGTCTAAGTCTCGGGCTTTCTTTTTGGATAATACAGCTTCAGACACTCCTAAATTGAAGGCAGCCATCTTTTGAAGATCATGTCGTTTGGCTAGAAGAGTTTCCTGTAAAATATTATGTTACAATACATGAAATGGATCCCCTGATGATTAACATCCCTTAGCTTAATCAAAATTCAATCTTGAAATACAATAATGTCACAACAGTAAACAAATATTAAACAAATATTCTAAAAAGAACCAGTTGCATCTAAATCAATTGATTCCTTCTAATGATATCACCTGGGCCCCATCAGCAAATCAGAAGAAAGCAGTCTCATTAAATATTTTAAAATGTATCCAGGCCTCAAAGTTTAACTTACAAAGTAAATAGGTATCAGGCAAATTTCATTGAATTTGGCCAAGCATCGAAATTTATGAGGGGCGTAATCAGAAATGATACCAGGAAAATTATATTGAAATCCAAAAACACCTTCAAAAGATACCATACAGAAACTTTCAATCAGATCACATCAACCTTATTAAATACATGTATGCATGAGTGGGGTTAGCATCAAACTTGAGCAAGGGATTTTAGCTGCAGGAAAACCAGGCAAAATATACCGAAATTTGATAATTCCTTTAAAAGATATCTTTTGGAAAGGAATCTCATGCAAAGAAGGATTCATGACATTGAATTTATAAAATGTTTCACTCTCTTGGGGAAGAGACTGGCAAATCTCAATACGAGGGGTAAGATTAATGAACAGTGGAATCTGAGGCTTTCCCAGGTTTGACAATTTAAAAACTCTCATCAAAGGGCTTAGATTTGTCAATCTAACCTTCCCAGAGGCCTACTAATTCTTTTTCACTTATCATGAAAATGGGGATTTTTTTTTTACCCCTAAAATGGAATTGCTTCAATGGTAAGAAAAATATGTGTTTAGTGCCTAGCTATAATTTGAAATCATCTGATCCGTAAAACGTGACACCATTCAATTGTGATCATTGAGATGTCATACAATTATTACAGAGTGTCTAATCATAGGATGTGAAAACGAAATCCCACTCCAAGCAAAATCATGGAAATATCTGTCAAGGGTAGGATTAAAAGTAATCCCTATAGATATGTCACCTTGATAGGCAACACATAAAAATGAGGTCAGGAATGTTTTGCAGCTTTCAAGCCCTGATAAGTTACAGCGTATTTTTGATGTGGATGTTGTGAGTTTGTTGCGTCACCTGTTCCCCTAAAGTATCCTCAGCATCCTTCATGTACTGAAACTGTTGGAGGAGCCTGTCCTCCTCTTCCTGCCGCCGCTTCCTCTCATCAGTGAAGGAAACAGGAATGTTCCTGCGGGAGCGTTGGTGACACAGATAGCACAGCTCCTGACCAGCAGTGGGGTGACCACACGCTGACATGGGAGGATTGGGGACATTACGCTGGCCCATACGGATCTGGTCCACACTCTGTGCCCGTGAAAGGGGAGACAACTTTGGGGATGGAGGTTTCATAGGATGGATTTGTCTGCAAGTAACAGAATTTTAATTTGATTAAAAGTGGGTTAGTCACAGAAAGTATTCAAAACCAAAATTAAACGTAGGAACTAAAATTTCCATTTTGATTGCTGTATATAGCTTTAGGTGAGAATACAAAGGCTGAATCAGACTTCTATATAGGTGTAATCAACCATCAGACTAAAACATCAGCTGAGGCAGAGATGTTTCATGACAGATAAGTTAAATGCAGTAAGATATATGTCATAGAACTATCTGCTGTGTTGTATAACATTAGGACTAGTATTCAGTAAGGTGAGAAAATTATTTATATCCATTAACTTACATTGTAATGTGATTTAAACATCTGCTGATGTGCTAATGTCATCAAAATAACTGTTGGATGCCTTCTGTGTATGCTATTAATTGGAGATTAATAATGGCATCATGTACTGGAAAGTTATACAAAATACTACAGAGCATCAAACATCCCATTTCCGAATCCAGCATACCATCATTATAGGCATGAATCTCATTACAATTTAATGTTAATGGCATCCTCAATGTCAATATATACAGTCGGTAAATATCCATTATAGCTGTAGCTTGGTAGTCAGGAACAAAGCTCTCTCTACATGACTAGCCAAGCTTAAATCTATCATCCATGTACAACCTATTCAAATTTACCTTTGTTTCATTTCGTTTTCTTTCTACTTTTTTTTACTGGAATATATTCCTGAACTATATGAAGCCACCAAAGGGATACTAGCAAATACACAAGGTGTGACCAAATAACTGATAATGACTCCATTTCAAGAGATATGTAACTTCATTACTACATTCAATTAAAATCAAATCAAGAGTGAGTTTATCAGTCCACAGCAGGCATTACTAGCATAGGATAGATGCCTACAGTACCGAGTTGAAAGTTATGGGGTGGGTGTAATGTGAAATCAATAGCTGGTGGCTAAAAGCTATTCCATAGGACCTAAGATTCATCCCACCCTGCTCCAGGCTAATTAATTTGTTTATCTATACTGTGTGACAGTGACAAACTTATGATGCATAGCTAATGGGAGTTTTAGTGGTGTACATGTACTACCTAGCTACACTGTGTACTTGGTGTACCTTACAGTATATAACATACATGCAGGAAAGGAATTAATTCAATTCACAGACTTTCTACACAAGATCTACCCCTTCGTGAAAGGCAAATGTAACGATGCCTTTCATGATTTTCTTTTTTGACAATCTCATGAATCATTTTTTTCCCAGAAATTCATGGGTTTTTTCTTTTGAATATATAAACCATCACAGATATTTCTATATCAATTTCTTCATTTAGCAAAACAATGTTAACATTAAACCAGGTACATATAACACACTGGAGAAGTGCTAAACTCTTTTAGTTAACGACTAAGGTGTGGTCAAAATTAAGTAAATTTCCTACCAATCATTTAACAAGCATAAGAAATTTACAAGAATGAACTGACTTTAATGATACAAACATATAAGAGAATTTGTAAAACTGGAGAATTGTACATGTATCAAGTTCTTTTGCACATACTGATGAAAAAAAGAGTTACTTTTCTTAATCCTTTATACATATTTATTACTGTGTTTTATGTTACACCACCAAGCAAACTTACCCCTCCATCATCTCTCGAGGAGGACAGGGAACAGATTTGTTGATTGGTCCAAGGGGGCTGGGGGCTGACTTAGGGGTATAGGATGAGGGGATGAGGTCGTCCAGTAGACTGACCCCTGAGGCTTTGGCCAGAGGCATGGCCATCCTTGACCCTGTACGGCTTGGTGGCATCGACACCTTTCTCTGGTCTGTAAAGATAACATCGAAAACACAGGTCAAATGTTATGCTTCAACAGTATTATCAATTGTCTACACTAATTAACTAATGGGTTGCTTCTCTAAGTAATAAACCACTGTCGCCCTAGGGATCCCAAGGGAATCTTCCTTCATCCAAACTGCAATAATGAAAATTGAACCCATATCTAATTTCTTCTTTTGAAGCACACCCACAGGAAGCTCTGTATGTTTCCAAGTAACAACAAATAACATTTTGTATGAAGTACAAATAAACTGTATAAATCCATGTATCTGTGTGTGTATATAATTAATGAGTTTCATGTTTTAATTTAGAGTTTCTTTATTGTTATGTAGAAATATACATAACCAAACCTTTAACAGGAGTGGGAAATATCAGAAACACAACTATGATCATGCATTCAATTCCAGTACATATCAGAAGACAATGAACTTATATGTAGTGGAAAACAAGTAGATATTGTGGTAATTTTGTTTTTTTCTTCAGTTCAAAGAGTCTGAATAAGAGCTGTTCATTTCCTTTTAAGACATCATATCTAACTCGAGTTGTTGCATACAGTATACATGTACCCAAATAAAGTTTATACAAAAAACCCAGATATAGATACAATGTCAATCCCCGTTGATCATGTCTACTCATTTTATCATTGAATGAAAACTTATTTCAAAAAGTTACAATGAAGCCCAGAACAAAAACCTTCTAAATGTCCATAACATGTCGAGATATCTACTAATTATCATTCAAAAGGGGAAACACAACAGCAATTTCCTGTGAAACAACGTACATTGTTAGACATTTTTTCACTCACAATAATTAGAAAATGTATCTCCAGACTTGAAAATCCCTCCAGAAAACATTGTAAATGAGAACTCAGGTATTATACTATATCACAATTTGTCCCTTATGACTTGCTTTAAGTCTATAATCCCATCCAATGTCAACAGAATTAGGCAAAACTAATAGGTCTTATCCTCATCCGACAACGCAGAGAGACACACACAAATACAATATAGTTTGTTTAGAATTCATCACTAATTCATAAAGAATATCTATGACAACAAATTTATGACGCGCCCCCTCATTCACAGAGTTATCATGACTAATTAATGTTGTTATAGTCGCTCTCTCCACCAGCGGCATACAAGTGCTGGGCTTAGACTGTTGGCAAAATCCTATACACATCAACGACAGTCGGGCAGATGGATACGTTGCTAGGTAAAACTCCTACTGGATTTGACTTCTAACTAACTAAAGAAATAAAAATTCGACCCAAAGTAAGAATCCTTTCCCTCAAGCAAAGACGATAGGTAAACTTTTTGGCTTCCAAAGAAACCATGCTATTTTTGTGTGTGCGTTAAATTAATTGACCATTTTTTCATGATTAGGAAGTGTACCATTAGATCAATGAGTTCCACAAAGCTAATTCTGTTTAATGTAGACTGGCATGCAACATTCAGTGATATGGAATGTAAAGTAGCAGTTTGTACTGTGGGTATAAATGCAATGCCTTTGTCAATACACAAGTACTAAGCTTTGCAGGTTTTCACAACATCTGAAAGGAGTTCCATCAGTTTAATCCTCTTTTGTTATGTTCAAGGACATAGTAGTATATTGGGAGTCAAGTATTTTTGTTTAGTCAAGATATTACCAATGTAGTCAATTATACATATCATGTTGTGAGGTAAGTATTTACCTTTCTCAGATAGGAGTTTACTGTATACATCAAGATTTCATTATAATGCGCTTTCTACATTTTAGAAATGGGTAATGGCAAAATATTGCCTTGAAAAAGTGAAAATATATGGTACATGTGTGTCCACAATGATTAGATGTATACACCCAAATATATACAGTTACAATAAAAACAAAATTACCTAAAATGTTCATGCAAATTGAAAGCTTGTGGTGACCACACTTGGTTTCTTTTTTGGATCCTAATATTAACATAGCTAAATATAGCTATTACTGATTCTATAGCTACCTTAATTTCAATGGTTAGTCTATTACTATACTATTGTGTGGATACTGCCTAAACCTGCTATGGTTAGCATATTATTGATCTAATACCATCGCATGGAGACCATGCTTGGCTAGCCATATCTATAGTTACAGATCCTGTACCACCCAATGAAGACTGTTCATGGGTCTTCCCTTTGTTAAAACTGGCTTATTTCAGATCCTACACCACCATTTCAGATTCTACACCACCTTAAGGTTACCATGTCTGGCTTAAGCCTTGCTACGGCTGTCCTATCACAGGTCCTGTAGGACTCTTTAAAGACTACCTGGTTCTACCTTTGCTTCTGCTAGCTTACTTCTCATCCTAGATATAGCTACACCACCTCAAACAGACCATGAATAGCTCCAACCTTGCTTATGGCTAACATATTACTGACCCTTATATACTCTATGACATGAAGGCTGTTTCGGCACCATCCTTGCAATGCTTAGTTTTTAACTCAGTAGCTATCATATGGCAACTCCCTGGCTCTATGTAAACTCTCAATTATCAATACCTGGTGTTTCCCTTCACCAATATTGTTCCTTATACATCATCCTACAGAAGCTGTGTCCCGGGCCCCAACCTTGTTATGGCTAGCCTTATTTTGCTACTACACCATATCTTCATGAGACTTTGTCTGACCTATACTATTGTACAGTTAACGTAATACGCTTCCTACTGAGGCTGTGGCTGGCCCCTACCTTGTTATAGTTGATGCTGTGTCAGGCCAATACCATTATATGGTAAGCTATTACTGATACCTTACCATTCTAACTCAACTGTCTGGCTGCTTTTAACCATTAGAGATTTGGAACCTATGTCTGACCATGTGTCTGACCCTATGTCTGACCCTATGTCCGCCCCTGTGTCTGTCCCTATGTCTGTCCATGTGTCTGACCCTATGACTGACCCTATGTCTGACCCTATTTCTGACCCTATGTCAGACCCTATGTGTGACCCTATGTCTGACCATGTGCCTGACCCTATGTCTGACCCTTTGTCTGACCATGTGTCTGACTCTATGTCTGACCCTATGTCTGAACCTATGTCTGACCCTATGTGTGACCCTATGTCTGACCATATGTCTGACCCTATGTCTCACCCTATGTCTGACCCTATTTCTGACCCTATGTCAGACCATTTGTCTGACCCTATGTCTGACACTATCTCTGCCCCTATGTCTGACCCTATGTATGACCATGTGTCTGACCCTCTGTCTGACCCTATGTCTGGCCGTATGTCCGACCCTATGTCTGACCATGTGCCTGACCCTATGTCTGACCATGTGTCTGACTCTCTGTCTGCCCCTATGTCTGACCCTATGCAATTCTGATAGAGATTGCGTGCAACCAAAAGGTTAGGCCACAATCTGTAACAAGCAGCTTGATTAATGACAGGAATGCATAATTGATGGGTTCCTATGTAGTTTATGGTGTGTAATATGGAAGGCAGTATTTGCCTTATCTATTGATTTAGACAACAGTGCATTCTTAATTAACTATAAACAGTAAGCAGATTGACCCAACCATACACAGACTGGTTACAATAGGCTCTAGAACATGACACAGACATATCACAGACCCCCTCCTGTCTACAAACAGGTAGCTGTATATCACCTATCATAGACCCCCTCCTGTCTACAAACAGGTAGCTGTATATCTCCTAACATAGACCCACTCCTGTCTACTAACAGATGTCTGACCCTATGTCTGCCCATGTGTCTGACCCTATGTCTGACCCTATGTCTGACCCTATGTCTGACCCTATGCAATTCTGATAGAGATTGTGTGCAACCAAAAGGTTAGGCCACAATCTGTAACAAGCAGCTTGATTAATGACAGGAATGCATAATTGATGGGTTCCTATGTAGTTTATGGTGTGTAATATGGAAGGCAGTATTTGCCTTATCTATTGATTTAAACAACAGTGCATTCTTAATTAACTATAAACAGTAAGCAGATTGACCCAACCATACACAGACTGGTTACTATAGGCTCTAGAACATGACACAGACATATCACAGACCCCCTCCTGTCTACAAACAGGTAGCTGTATATCTCCTAACATAGACCCACTCCTGTCTACTAACAGGTAGCTGTATATCACCTAACCTAGACCCCCTCCTGTCTACAAACAGGTAGCTGTATATCTCCTATCATAGACCCCCTCCTGTCTACAACCAGGTTGCTGTATATCCCCTATCATAGACCCCCTCCTGTCTACAAACAGGTAGCTGTATATCTCCTATCATAGACCCCCTCCTGTCTACAAACAGGTAGCTGTATATCTCCTAACATAGCCCCACTCCTGTCTACAAACAGGTAGCTGTATATCTCCTATCATAGACCCCCTCCTGTCTACAAACAGGTAGCTGTATATCTCCTATCATAGACCCCCTCCTGTCTACAAACAGGTAGCTGTATATCCCCTATCATAGACCCCCTCCTGTCTACAAACAGGTAGCTGTATATCACCTAACATAGACCCCCTCCTGTCTACTAACAGGTAGCTGTATATCTCCTAACATAGCCCCACTCCTGTCTACAAACAGGTAGCTGTATATCCCCTAACATAGACCCACTCCTGTCTACAAACAGGTAGCTGTATATCACCTATCATAGACCCCTCCTGTCTACAAACAGGTAGCTTATTATCTCCTAACATAGACCCCCTCCTGTCTACAAACAGGTAGCTGTATATCACCTATCATAGACCCCTCCTGTCTATAAACAGGTAGCCGTATATCACCTATCACAGACCCACTCCTGTCTTAACTAACAGGTAGCTGTATATCACCTAGCATAGACCCACTCCTGTCTATTAACAGGTAGCTGTATATCACCTAACTTAGATCCACTCCTGTCTACTAACAGGTAGCTGTATATCACCTAACTTAGACCCACTCCTGTCTACTAACAGGTAGCTGTTTATCACCTAACTTAGACCCACTACTGTCTACTAACAGGTAGCTGTATATCACCTAACATAGA